CCCCAAAACCCCAAAACCCCGTACCTTAAAATTGAAATTAAATGGTGCATATTGAAATATTAATCTTTAAATTATTTATAAGAATATTCTCTTTTTCATAATATTAATTACTGAATTTTAAATTTCTTTTGTTTTCTATTAATTTTTTAAGATTTTCTTAATTTTCTCTTTTTAGTATAACTATTGAAATTTCTATTTAAGGTATTATCTTCATTGCTTAAGTTTTACTTCATTTCTATTATAAATCCATTTTCTAGAGCTTATTTTAATTTGAGAAAATCTTAATTAGTACTAAAAGCCTTGTTTATGTAATTTCTTTAATAGTTATTTTTTTAAGCTTATTTTCTTGTTTTAAAAAATAGTTTTATTTTATTTTGAAAGTCAACTAAAATCATGAGGATGTTTAGTAAGAGGTAGCAAATCACCAAAATTATAGGTATAAGCCCTAGTTTTTATCTTACATTATTTTCAATATTGTAATGAGCGACAAATGGAAAGAGACTTAGACAGATAATCATAAAAATTCCCTCATTAATAGTAGCCATTTAGTTCATCTTTTTTGTTAAATGTGGCTTTATCTCAATTAGGTAGCTAATCATAAAAAATGAGAGTAATATCTGAATTAAAACTTAGAGTCCTTGTGAATCAGTAAGAAATATTAGACTTAGGCAGTAAATTAATTTTCTAGTAATATAAATAGGATATTTCATCAACTAAATTCTTTTCGATTGTTTTAAATGCTCAATGAGGATGCTACTTGAGAATGATGTTTTCTTAATTTGCTTTTTAGATTAACTTGAAGATTTTTCTATCAAGAATACCATTATAATTGGAAAGAAAAATATTCCCACTGCAAATAAGACAGAGCAAAGAGATGCGAGGACATCTCCTGTTAAATCAAATGTTAGCTATACATTAATTTTTAATTTACAGAATATTATCTTACATTCTAAACATTTATCAAGCTATTTAAAGTTATTTCCATAAATGCCTCCATAAAAAATCTCATGAGTAAATTAAATAGAATTTTCTCGCATAATTCTTTAATCATTTTACTATTTGTTTTAGAAATAGATATATAAATACTATAATTTATTGAGTCCAAATAGGTGAACCAAAAGGGCTAATAATGTCACATTCAAGTTTACTATAAAAATATAGAATAATAATCCCATGTTTAGGATAAAATTCTTAGATTTATAATTCATTTGTTCAAAAGCAACATTGTAAGGACCGTCAGCTTGGTAATCAAAGTCAAAAGCAAGATTGTTTAATTTATACATTGGAATCAGATTAAAACTAGCAATGTCATTTATTAATCCGAAAAATTATAAAGTATTTCCTGGTAACTGTATACTTATTAATGCAAGATGAGTAATTAACTAAAATTCTTCAATCATGCTCCAAAGAAATTATGCCCCTTAACTCCTGCATAAATATTAAGTATAAATGATTACATGAGTAAATTCACGCCGAGATTAGCTCCAAATACAGAACTCATTGTCCATAAAATTGTTGTTGCAACAACTGAATTTAACTCTAAAGATTCAGGCTTAGTCTAAGGAGGCATTGTTTTTTCTAATTGATATCCATTTTTGAATTTTTTCTTAAAGTCTTTTGAATAAAAAATGTCTTACCTCATAAATTACACTTATATTAAATCTACCTGAAATTATTAAGTTAATTGATTACAGAATTTTGAGATATTATTGTAGGATCGTAAGAGTAGTCAAGCTATACTTTCATATATCGATTAGAAATATCTATAATTTAAAAATCCGTTTATTTAATTATTGTAGCTTCCTCCATCAAAACAGATATTTTTATGCTTTATTGAGTATTATTTTTTAGTTTATTATAAAGAAAAATATCGCTTTTGAATGCAACTGTCAATAATCCTGTAGAAGTTATTGTTTTAATATTAGCTTCTAAATTCTCAAATGCCTATAAATTTGAATTTAATAGATCTTGATCCTTTAAAAAGATTCCATTTGATTCTAATAGATTTGTAATCTTAGCCTTGACTTTTATCTTTAATAAATAGCTATTGCTGATTCTAGAATTTCCTTACTGCTTTACTATAATTTTTACACGATATTCCCCATAATCTCCCTCTAAAGGTGCTATTAATATAATATCTGAATTTAACTATACAAATTTACTTGCAAATTTCGCATCCAAGTATACAAAGTAAGGATCATTTTCAGAATCTTAAATTGACGGCAGTTTATAATAAAATGCTTATTCTTCATAAATGACTATATCTTCCAATTTATCTTTGAAATATGGAGCAGTATTGTTACTTTGTAATTTAGTATATTTCTCTAAATTTACATAATTAGCCGAGGAAAAATTAATCAAAATGGTAAATGTAGCAAAAATATTTCTTCAATTAGACAATGAATTTTTAATATAACCATTTAAGTCTATCTTTAAGGTTTACCCAGTTAATCTTTGATCATTAGACTGAAATTGAAATATTTGTGAATCTTAAATGTAGATAAAAACTGATTCAAATTCTTTAGGGATTATAGTCAGAGGATTTAACACGACTTTCAAACAAAATTGATTCTATAAGTATCCTTGTAGATCAATATTTTTTGTTGGATGACCTATTTCATAATATACTCGGATTTCTATTTTATTTTTAGTTTAAGTTAGGATTTAATCACATGTTTATGGATGAATTCTCATTGTTTCTGTTTATTCAATGAAACCATAATCTTAAAAAGCTTTAATTGGATATAGAGTAGCAATTATCTCATTTAATTCATCTAATTCTAAGAGTCCCTAGAAGCTTTAATCATCAAAATTGAGTGTCTAAGAATAATCACTCTAGGTTTATGTAGTTACTAGAACTTTCTTATTTATAATATTTTGCAGAACCAATTTTTTTTCAAGTTTGATGGTTATTTATTAGGGATCAGAACAGTTGTTTTGCCTCAACTTAATTAATACTAAGCTAGAACAATTGTACCCCATATAGCAAAACAGTGTACTTCCATTTAACATTTAATCATGGAGTGAGAATGCAATATTTATTTTACCTGGGTTATTGCAAATAAATTCTTCACCACTAGGAAAGCTGTAAATAGCTTCTCTATAATCCTATGATCAGATAATACTAACTGAATCTGAGATATCATTTGATACAATTGCTGTAAAACTGAACTTTACAAATTCCTATTCTGAAATTATTAACTTGTTCATGCTTGTAAGTTCATGTGTACTTTTATTTGGCTCTAATAAGTAATTGCATTCGTATTCAGATTTGAATGAAGCACTTACAAATCCTCTATATTTTGAGTTCAAAACATATGAAGCAGCATATAGGAGATGCTTATCATTGATAACTTTCATGTAAGTTAAATTATAGTTCACTATGGATTGAGGGAAATTTCTCATTTAATAGATAGCTGTTTATATCACTGGCAATTGAGTATTAAAATCAATCTCATTAATTATAAATATCATCAATTATTAATGATATTTTGAAGTGTAAAGTCTCTAGGTATAGAATATTGATAATAATTTCGATGAAATATTGAAATAGCTGCATAAGCACTAATACTGTTTACTATCTGAAAAAACAACATTGCTCATAAGTATTGAAAAATCTCTTAATTTCATTATAATAAAACCTAGAGAAGATGGCAGATTTAATTCTTAAGGGTCATTAGATACACAGGCAACTAAGTATTTTATATCTGAGCTCAAAGCTAAATTTTAAACTGTAGAATTATAGTAATAAGTTTAATTTCCAGCTAATGAATATTCCTGTGAAAATTCTGAGTTTAATTCGATGTTCATCTTTCCTAAAATATATTTATAATTATCTTAATCTCTTGTATTTCCTGAATAATAAATAATCTCATTGTATTAATCAAATATCACTGACTTGATAGATTCTGCTTGAAATTAAACTATTTTCTTTACTGAAGCAAGATTTGAATCAATTATTATAAGCAAAGATTTATCAACATTTCTAAGATCAATAGCTATGTAGATTCTTCCATTTTAATCAATTTCAAAAGCTTAAGGTCTTACAGAAGGCATTTGGCTGAATAGTCTTAGAGACTTTATAGGATTTCCAGTTTTTACGTCTACATTCATTAAGACGCTATTTTCGAAATCTGTAATTAGAAGAGCATAAACCTACTATTTTATTATTCTTAATGAAGACACATATCGAACCATGATTTTATCTGGAGCATTCTTATCTTCATACGTAAAAATCCATCTGATATGTGCATTATCTAATTCTGTTTGAAAATAGCCAATAGACGGCAAGGTTCTATTTGTTTTCTTGTCTAATAAGCTTCCTCCAAACACAATATCATCATTTAAGCTTTACTCCATATCTACTGCATAAATTCTTGAATCATCAAAGAGAGAACCCAAAGGAATCTATAATGGAAATTGTTTTGGCCCATAACATCTTTCATAAGACATCACCTATCCAATGATTGAAAAAATCATAAAAAGTGAAAAAGAAACTGAACTTTTCTGGATTAATTAATAGTATTTGCTAATAAATATTAAATGCATTTTTATTAATATATTATAAAGTTTGCATTTATAATTTATTATTAATAATAACTAAATTTTTGAATTTTCATTAGCTTACTAATTTAAGGTATCTTAGTCATAAGGGGTTTTGGGGTTTTGGGGTTTTGGGG